GCGCTCTCTTGTTGCACCTCTTGCTTGGCTTGGTTCAGCCTTTGTTGCAGGCCTCCTTTTCTCTTTCTTTTTTTTTGTAGCAGGAGAGGCTTCCATGTGGTCAGAGGGAAACCCCAACAGAAGATGAACACTTTGGGCCAAAAGGCAGTCTAGAAGATACAAAATCAATCACTAAGTGAGACATGTGCAGAGAAGCACAAGCTCATGTAAGAAAATGTCACTCTCAAGTAAAGGATGACATGCTCAAGTAAAAGGCTTTCTCATGTAAAGGATGACATGCTCAAGTAAAATAGCATTCTCAAGTAAAGGGTGACTTGCCCAAGTAAAAGGGCCTTCTCAAGCAGGGCATACCATGTTCAAGCAAAGGGTCATTGTCAAACTCAAGACTGCTCCAAACTGAAGGTAGTTTTTCCAGAATGCCGCACAAGCTAGGGTCTGGTCTCAAGACTTTTCTAAAGTAACAGAACTGCTCAAGTGGTCCTCTTGGACCTGGCAAGTCGAGCGCTCAACTGCCCCTTGATGCCAGCAACCTGGTCCTCAAGCTTCACAGCCCTATTGCCACTGCCTTGGATAAACTCGTCATACTTAGCACCAGTGAGGCAAGAACCATCTGGAAGTTCCTTCCAGCTGAGCACATGGTCCACATCGCGCTTCTCATTCATGATGCTCATGGCCAGCTCTTTCCTGATGCCAAACACAAGATAGGGGTGAGAGAAAATGTGAGGCTTGACTTGAGAAGTAGTTTACCTGGGAAGGCATTGGTTTACCTGAGGAAATCTTTTGTTGAACATAAGTTGGAAACACTGGTTTACTTGAGGAAACCTTGACATGAGAATGCTTTGGTTTAGTTGAGAACACATGGTAGACAAAGGATTACTTGAGGAAGTCTTTACTTGAGAATTCTTACATTAAGTCTACCTGAGCAGAGCTTTACTTGAGCATGTTCCAGGGTTCAAGAAAATAGAGCACCAAATGTTTTCCAATTTAAATACATTCAAAGCTTCAAGGTAGTCCAAAGAGGATCTTCCTTTGCGTCAACACCTACATCTTGCAGGCCCTTCCTCACATCCTTCTCAAGCTTCTCATAGGCCCTTTTTGCGTCATGAAGCTGCTCCTGTGCTTTCTTCCAGAGAGACTCCCCCAGTTCAGTCTCTCGGTCGCACAGGGCAAGTGGAGCGCTGCCAGAAGAAGCTGCATCATGGAGAGCCTTTGTCTTGTCCCTGGAGAAAAGACCGCCCCTCCAAGAGTCAAAAGCTCCAGCCTCAACCTGCTTCTGGTTCTTGTCGAGCTCCTGCTTGGCTGCCATTGAAACAGTTGTAAGAGAACCCCTGCTCTCAACCTGCTCCAACTGGGTCCAACTGTAGACAAGGCGACCACTGCTGTCCCTGCTCTCAAAGAACTCACCATCCTGAAGGCCCTGGAGAAACTGCTCATCTTTCATGTTGAATTTGCCCATGAACAGCAACTTTGGGAGTGCTTTGTCCTTGGTACTCGACTTGCTTTGGGAGAACTGCTCGCGCATTTGGGCAAACATTGGCTTCTCAAGGTTGACCATGAGCTTTCCATCCTTTGTCCTGTCCAGGACTTGGTTCACTATCTTGCGCTGTTCTTCTGTGCGTCCCTTCTTCATGCTCAAGGTCTTCTTCCAGGCCTGCACAACATAGTCTGGCAGAGAGCCCTCAGACAACAAGGCCTTGAACTTGTTGTCCTTCGACCTGTCCTTCTTGGCCTCATCGCACTCGAAGAAGTCTGCATTGTCCTGCTCCTCCTCCTCCTCCTCCTCCACATTCTCTTGGTCATCCTCTTCAACTTCTGGTGCTTCCTCCTCCTGATCCTCCTGCAACCCTGCTGCCCAGCCATGAGCTGCTGGCTTCTTCTTTGGTACGGTTTCTCCACTGGCAGCAGGCCTTTTCAAAGAGCCTGCCTTTGGCTTTGGCTTGTTCTTTCCTTTTGCTTTGGGCTTCTTCCCTTTAGGGGTCTTTGCTTTTGGGCTCTTTGCTTTTGGGCTCTTGGATTTTGGGGTCTTTGCTTTGGAAGCTGGCCTTTTCTTCACAGGTGTACTGGGATCTTCAACTCCACCATCGTCCTTCTCCTCAGGAGTGACTGTGCCCATGGGAATCTCTTCCTCTGCCATGCCAACAAGCTACTGCGCCTATCTTTCAAACCTTTCAAAGCTCTTTGAGATCAATCTAGCTGCAAAAGTAAACAACAACCAATAAGCCAGCTGTGCAGTAAACTCTCAACAACTTCAATTTGAACAACATACAATGCTGATCAACTCTTTGTGCAAAAGCATTACCTTCTCAGGTAAAGGATAAACCAACTTCAATTTGAACAACATACAATGCTGGTCCACTCTTTGTGCAAAAGCATTACATTCTCAGGTAAAGGCTAAACCCACAAGAATGCTAGATATGTTTTTGCTGACAATATGATGCAGAGTATCAAAACTTTTCATAAAATCTGTCAAAAAATTATATGAATTTTTTCTTTTGAAAAGTACATCAAAAGTACATCAGAAGTGCATCAAAAGTGCATCAAAAGTTCATCAAGAATTCATCAATATTTTCTCTTAAATTTTTAGTTTTCTGAAATAAATTTCATAAATACATATCAAATGCACTTCAACTCACAACAAGACTAAACAAGACTAAGCACACAGTTCCAAGTTGAATGGCATCCTCATGTAAAGTATACTTAAACAAAGTCTCAACCACTGAAGTAAAATACACTCAAGTAAAACAATCCTCAAGTAATGTCTGCCATGCTCAAGTAGAGTGTGCCATGCTCAAGTAAAGTCTGCCATGCTCAAGTAAAGTGTGACATGCTCAAGTAAAGTCTGCCATGCTCAAGTAAAGTGTGCCATGCTCAAGTGAAACCACACCCTCAAGTAAAAGCTCAACAGGTAAAGTCACACCCTCATGTAAAAGTTTCTCAAGTAAAGTCACATCTTCTTCATGTAACAGCTTCTCAACATCATGTCACAATGCATGTCCTCAACTCTACTCCAAAGGCTGCTTGCGTCTTTTTCACTCCTCAGAAGAAGTGCTGTCTCGAAGCGTCCTCATCAGGTACATCATGGCATTGATGCG